TCTCTGAGGCCCGGCAGTGGTGTGGAGCGGCCGTTCACGGGTCCCGGCAGTTTCCAGCCCCCGGAGCGTCGCGGGAGAGCGGGACGCGGCGGCCGCTGGAGCGCGCGGGTTTCTTGCAGATACTAACGATTATCATCGCGCAGTAAAGCCCTGCTCCAGGAGCGGGAAAAACCCCACACGGCCACTGAAAAGCCGGGAAAATGACTTCAGGGCTTAAGTGATAGGTGAGATCTGACTCAACAGCTGGTTAATCCGATTTTTTTTTTCCTCTGAGTAATCTTCCCCTCCCTAGCAGGGCCCGGCATTGCCAGGCAAACACCCAGCTCCCAGTTAGTGCAGAGCTTCCAAGGGAAAAGGCAAGGTCTGCACACACGGGCCAGCGCTGCATGGCCCTTTTCAGCAGCTCCACGCTACCCTGACAGCATAGGTGCATGATTTTCCTTAAAATCTCCCAGAAGGCACAAAACAGCCTCACACACAAGGTCCCCAGGAAGAGGGGAAGTAAAAATAACAGGGATGATTAAAAAAACCCAGACGGGCCATGTGGGGAATGATACAACCCACTGACACAACAGGCAGCAGCAGCAAACGAGTTTTCACTTCTTTGATTCCCTCCTTAGCCACAAATATCCCTTGGCCCCACTGCACAAGCCCAGAGTGGAGTCTCCACCCCAGCAGGGCAAGACCCTTGTAGCCAGTTTTTTTTTCGGGATCCAGTGGAATAAAAATACCGACCTGGCTGTGGGCCTGAGCCTGCCCTAGTGTCTGCCCGTAGTAGGCAGCCTGCTGTCTGTAATACTCTGCCCAAGCCATCGTGTAGTCCGGCTGGGAACTCGCCTGAGAAGCAGCACTGGCAGCATGACCTGGAGGAAAAGGGAAAAGGGAGGAATGAGCAACTCAGTAAGGCAAAGCCCGGCCTCAGGATCTCCTTTTGCAAAGCTTTGCGAATAGCAGCCCCCTTCACCGATTAGAAAGTGGCTGCAATACAAGTTTCACTGTTTGGATACCACAGGAGAGGTTTTCTAAGCTGCCTTGCGAGTCTCAAACTAAGGGCACGAGAGCGTCCCTGCTCCATCCTCGGCCCGAGGGCTCCAGCAAAGGCTCATCCAGAGGCCGGCACCAGGCGCCTCCGAGCGGAGCGGGAAGAGACGGTCCCACGCGTCTCCACGGAGCTTCCCTGCCCTGGGAACAGCCTCAGCTTTGGGGTTGCTGCCGGCGCCGGTTCTCGCTACGCGCGGACGTTTCCCCCGGGCAGCCCCACTGCTGCCATGGACACCGGGCTGCAGCTCAAGGGGAGCTTCCAGCTGGAGCCCTGCGTGCACCGTCACCAAGAGCAGGGGAGCAAAGGGCGGTCGGAAACTTAGGATGGCAGAGGATGGAGAGCCGAGTCCTTGGGTTAGAGTTAACTCTGTTTGTAACGAGGGTCGATTCACCTCCAGTGACCCTGATTCACTCACTCTGTTTTTTGTAATACTCCTCCCATGCTTTGCTGTAATCGGGATGGCTGTTCTGCTGCTGGCTCTGTTGGCCTGTGCAAAGATGACAACAAGGGGCACGTCAGGAGCAGGCAACAGTTTCCAGCTGGCGACATCTTTCCACTAGACAGCCCTGGCTCCAGCTTCACTGCCCAGACTCTGCCCTTCAGCTTCCACCTCTCCACGGCGTTGGGCACCTCAGATGGGGAAGGCTGAGGGAAAGGCCAGGATCCTAACTTCACCTCCGCTCTGCCCTGAGAAAGGGCAGGAGGCCACACGACCCCGGCACGGGGACCTGCTCGGGAGCTGCTGGGTTTGCACCTCATGTCTAGCACGGGGACAAGGGGTTCGGGTCGCTGATGGGGCTTCAACCCCGCTGCGGTTTTAGCCGCAGAGCCACCGAGGAGCTGCCCTGGTCGGGGTCACTGAGGGGAGCTCCCTGCCCTCGCTGCAGGGCACTGCCCTGGGCACGACGCGCGGGGTCAAAGGCGCCCGCCTGAGCGCAGAGCTCCCGGCCGACCCTCCGCAGATGCCACCGTCCTCCTCCGTGCAGGAAGAGCTGCCAAGCTCTCCAAGCAGCTCCTGCTGCAGGGCGCTGCCCGCGCAGGCTCCTTTCGGGGAGGCTCCCGTTAAACATCCCCAGCCCCGTGCAGGGAAGCGCTGCCGGCGCTCCAACCCCGGCTGCAGCAGAGACGCCCTCAGCTGCCACCACCAGCTGGACACACGTCCCCTGCGCAGGCCCGGGCGCCCCGCAGCGCAGGGCTGCTCCCTGCAGCACCCTCGTGCCCTCGTTGTCTCAGCTCAGCTGCAGGGGGGCGCAGCAGCGCGGAGCCCTCGGCCAGACACGCAGCAAGCAGCCCCCAAGCCCCCCGAAACGGCAACGGGGCGATTAGAAAAGCCCCGAGAAAGGCGAGCAGCAAAGGCCGGACACAAGCCGTGACACGTGTGGAGGGCAGGGGCGGGAGGCAGGGAAGCCCTGCAGGGAGCTCCACGCGCAACGGGCCCGAGGAGGGCTCCGGCCTGGGGGAAGGGGCTGCGCGAAATGCTGCCGTGGGGGAAGTGGGTGGAGGGAACAGGGCAGCCGTGTCCTGTCCAGGGGCATAAAAGCGGGTTAAAAGACTTGACCAACGCTGCAAGTCAGGACCTTTTCTGGCAGAGGTCAAGGCTGCCTCGACTGTCCACCTGCTAATGCCAACAAAGGACCCCCTTCAATGCCTTTTCTTCGAGGAGAATTACAGTCCGCGGCAGGCTGAAAAGACACGCAGCTAAATGCACCGCACGGCAAAACGGTTCCCCGGCCAGTTAATTTATTTAAGATGAGGGAAGTAATTAAAATCTAAATACATGTGTAGGGGTGGGGGTCTGCCCCTCCTCCCACCCGGAGGGCACTGTCGAGCGCGTCCCTAGGAATTGTGTTTGGAGAGGGACACGGGCGGCGCTTGGACAGGGCTAGCAAAGCCATGGGAAAAAAAAAAGCAGGCTGCGGCACTCGCTTTGGAACAGGCAGGAAAGGGAACCTTCACAAGAGTGTTTTCAAAAAGTGTAAAAACAGGTATTTACCTAGTTTCTTATAATAATCCTCCCACGCCTTGGTGAACTCCACCTGGCCTGACTGGGTACCATTGTGATCTGCAGCAGGAGAAAGCAGTGAAGTCTGCTTAAAGCACAGCATTATGGTGTGTGTCCTCTCTCCTTACCAAGACTGCCTTCAGAGAGTGCCTGGCTACAAACAGGAACACGGAGGAACCTGAGTGCACATGCGACTGCAGAGCCAGCATTTGCCACCAGGTTCAACAGCAGAAATAAGACATCTGCCCCCAAACCATGGCCCAGGCTACTAACCCCACACAGGGGAAGGAATAGTGTGAGGCTTCACAGAACTTGGGAGCGCCCAGAAACCTGATGAATTAAGTGCAAAGCAGTTATTTTAATTTCTGAGCACATGAGTTGCACTATCAGCACCAGGTGATTTTTATGTGCCCGGTGCCAGGAGGCAACTGGGACACACTGCATAAGGGGGGGTTTCCCCAGGGGCTGGTGGGCAGGGTACGAGGAGGTTCAGGAGAGGTGAGGAAGAGGAGGACAAGCTATTCGGGTGAGTGGCAAAGACATCTCTCAAGGTAAATAGCAAAGCACATTTCACAAGCTTGTATTCAACACAGGCTTTATATGAGGACAAATAATACAGTGTACAACGGCAGAGGGGTGGCAGCTGGCTGGACAGGAGGATCATTTTCATTCTAGAAATGCTACATTTTTTTCCCTGCTGCACCGACTGCTCTCCTTGTGCAGGAAAACGCCTGCTTCCCAAGGCCTAGGAAAGGCCAGTGCTCTTGGGTGTGCACAGGGAAGAATCTGAATAGTAATTCTCCTGTAAAACTAGCTAATGGGAAATACTCTTCACTCTTCTACAAATATTAGAGGAGTGAATATTATTTCACTCCTCTACAAAAATTGCAAGTCTGCTGGATTGCTAAACCAAATATAGCACTTAAAAGCACCTGTCATTACAACTCTTTAATTTAAATCTCCTTTGTTGTGCTAGGATTTAGTTTTCACAAGATCAGACTATGAAATGAACTTACTACCTGAAAGACTGGGATAGAAAAATGTGTTTTGGACACAATTACCTTTTCTGTCACATGAACTTTGAGCTTACCAAGCAGACTGGGCATCTGCTTTGTTTTGGCAAACCCTTGCTCCGACTGTTCAAATCTCAGACAGGATGATGATGTCCTATTCGTGTTCCTAACACCTGTAACTTCAATTATCTGGAAATGGGGAATTCCCCATTCTGCGCTGAATTTTACTAAACAGGGTTTTGGGAGGGAATGAACCTCCAAACCCTGAAGACTGACAGTCAGCCCGACTCAGTGCCAGCAGCCTGAAGGGGAAGCCCCAGCATCAGGGGTGATCTGGGTTCAGCTTTTGAACCCATAACATGTGTGCACTGCTACTTCTTTATTTATCTGAAAGCCAGTTATCCTGTTGGCTTCATTCCCAGTGGTTAGCACGATGCACGCTGATCAGTTTTCATCAACTCCCAAAAGGAGATAAGGGGACACTATTAGAGTTGGTGAGAACAAATCTGGATAAGAGCCAAAGCTATCCCCCTTCTCCATTTTCTGCCCCTACTTCTCAGTCTTTCCATCAGACTGGGAGCTGAACAATGAGAAGAACTCATAAGGGACATCTATAGAGCAGCAAGAATTGATAAGGTCAAGAGCAGAGAGATGGGCAGAAATCAGCACCACACATGCTGCGTTGGGTTGGCAAGTGCTTGCCTGGAAAACCCTGGAGGGAGAGAGCCTGAGGCAGGAAGGATTTTGTTATGAGAGAGGACTGACTGAAAGGGCCAAGTTTCTACACAAAGAGAGCAGACACAAGCAGGGAGGTGCACAAAAAGGGTTACAGTTTTCAATGGACTCGGGCTTATTCTCAACTCATATACCAGAGCACATTTGTATCCACCTCCTTCGCTCAGGAGCTGCTTCTGCTCTTTCCACAGAGTTGGTCTCAGGGAAGTACCTGTGTTTTGTGGGCATGAAACAAGAGGGCAGGCAGAGAACACCAACCCTGCTCAAACAGGGCTTGAACACTTACTTGGGACTTGCTGTCCAGGCTGCTGCCACGTCTGGTAGGTACTGCCCCAACCCTGCGTCATGAACGCCTGAGGACCACTACAGAGGACAAAAAGACATACTGAAGTAGACAATAAAATACGTAACGGGCCACATGAACCAAGTCAGCCACAGAAATGAATCACTACTTGTAGTCAGAAATTGCTGACAAACGGGTGGACACAGAAACAACGTGGAACACTGTAGGTGGGAATGCCAGCTGGGCTGAGCTTCGTCTTCTGGAAGCCAAATGAGGACACACCGTACTCAGCAGCACCCCACGTGCTGTTCAGACTTCCTTACAATTTAGGAGCTAAAATCCTTCCTGAAGACAAGCTTAAAAACTTCTGAGAACTCAGTCATAAAGCTCCACTTACATCCCTCCACAGCCCTTCTCCAAGCGTTCTTAGCTCCCAGTATTTCCCCACAGTCATTCCAAAGAGATGGAAGAACTTACTTTTGATGAGGTGTGGCAGGTGCTTGGCTGAACGGACTTTGACCAAATCCTCCAGGTCCTCCCATGCTGGTACCCTGCCATGAAACCCAAAAACATTTAAAGTCTGCTCTAAGCCTAGGGCAGGAGCAGCTAATACGAGCAATAAGAAAGGGAAGAAGAAAGCCTGGGATACGTTCCAATAAATCCCAGCTGGAGGAGACCGATGCTCCAAGCATAGAGTTCTCAGGACTCTCAGCACACTCAGCTTCAGAAGCAACTTTGGCCAGCCCACAAAAGAGTTAATGAAACTATGACACAGTTGAAGCTTGGCTCCAAACAGCTTGGATCCTGGGTTTGGTATCAAGCTTTCTCTTCTCAAGTATTTCAGTATACAAGCTGCTTTTCAGTTCTACCATGCCTCAGCTCAGTGTTTTCCCCATCACCTTTTACTCAAGTCTCCCCCTTCAGCAGTACTCCATCCTGATATTATTAAGCTTCAATACCACAGCAGTGCATTAAGTGGAAAACAAAAGTCATCCAGGATTTACTGGAGCAAGGAGTTGAGTGTTACTTTCAGAATGATGGTGCCAAGATTGTACCATTCTCAAGCAGCAACATCACTTCTCTTCAAAATCTCATTTGACAGCCTTCTCATACCTTATTAAAGCTTTTCTTCTCCCTCATACAGCTGCACTACACTTGATTATGTCAGCAAACAGTCTGATGCTTATGGGAGCAGAGCAAAGACTGATCTCATGGCTGCTGGAGGGCCAAAGTTCAGAATGGCTGCTAAGAGGCAAATGGTATTGAATGTAAATAATGTAAGCACGTGTTTTCTGTGCCATGCCTTAAGCCCAGGCCTACACATAGCTATGAGCAAGAGTGCCACTTCTGAAGGAGACAAACATCATCAGAGAGTAAACTTACACCAACTTTCTCATCTATGAGATGTCTAGCGAGCTCAATCTGTTGGGGAATTCCTCTGATTGTGAATATTCGTACACCAGGGTCTGTGTTTGGAGGTGGGTTTCTCTGGAGCTCCACGTGGGCTCCTGACTGTTGATTTATGCTCTTGATGTTCTCACCACCTGAAGGAAAGAAAACCAAGACATAAGAAGGGATGTTCAGCATCTCTTTCCATAAAGCAAAAATAACAAAGGTTCTCATAATGTGAGTAGAGTTCAGACACCTGCTGCTTAAAGAATGTGGATATAACCCCCTTGTGTGCACATTACTAAGCTCCTGACAAGATGCATGATGGCCGAGATACACTTTGGGATAAATTAGAAGATAAATTAGACCGTGCTGACTGAAATCCCACCAGCTCCAGAGCTTCTGAACACCTATTCATATTTCTCAAGAAAAGAGAGTCATCTTCAATTGAAAAAACTGAAAAGTGTTTTTTTTTCTGCCATAAGACTTGTTTCTGTTGCTAGACCTTTCACTCAGAAAGCCACCAGCCAAATACCTTATAGCATAAAACAAAGCTTAAGCTTTCCCCAAACCAACCGATTGTGCAATATCTTGTTCCCTTAAGAAAACCTCAGCTTACACCATTTCCTAGTCACAATGCAGCATAAGCAGCCCTACATGCAACTGGAGCAGTGCTGGATTCTGCTGTCTTGCAGTATTTCAGAATTAGCTGTCCATGCAGTGAACATATCTGACCACTCTGCAAGCTGGATCTACTGGAGCACAGGAACACTTCAACTAGGATGCTGCAGGGCTGGCCATAGTGGATGGGATTTCCTGAAAACCTGTTAGGTCTCGGTATCTTAATGAAATTTGCTTAACAAAAGCTTCAGCCAACGTTACAATGGTTCAATTCTTCTTCTGGAATCTCACACAACTTACAGATCGGCTCCACTCAACTGGAGAAATTACAGGGTGTGGGGAAAGAAGGGGTTTTTACATCTTTTAAAACACAAACCTGGATGAAACCAATACCCAAAAAGAAATACTGCGAGCCGGAAAGAGAGTAAAGGAGACTAACCAAAGATTTGTTTTAATTAAAGGGGTATCCAAACATAATCTCATCAATTTTGCTCACATTTCCAGCTCTATACATGCCACACAACTTCAAAACAAACTGTGGATGCTGTAGACACTTGCTCATTTCATTGTAAAGGACTCATGACCTTTTTAACATTTTAAAGTGCTTTTAGGGAGGGGAGATGGAAAAGTTGCCCAAGGGCAATTAACTCTTTCTGGATGAATTTTAGAAGATGCATTTAACAAAGAATAACCATGTCACATCTCCAGGCAGACAACAGGGCTTGTACTGTGTAGCCAAGAGACAAGTCACTCATTTTCAGTAACGCATGGGAACGCGGTAAGATGCGATTTTCTAAACCAAGAAGTTTCATCGCATTTATGTCAGATGCAGATTTCTATCAAGTCCTACTTTTATCAACTAGGGGGAGATTCCAGTAGACTGCCACTGCCACTTTATCAGATTATGGAAAACTGATAACCCAGCACTGTTTCAGCCACTTTGCAACCTGCAGGAACGGACCTTCCTCGCCGCGTGACAAACACGGGTTACTCTGAGGCCTGCACGCATCCTCCTCCTCTACCAGGAATCTGCTTTTTCTTCTTTTGCTCCTGCCTGCAGATGCCAGAGCGCTCCCTCCCGTGCAGGGTGCCCGGAGCGTGCAAACGAAGCGGCGCAGCCCGGAAGGAGTTCGCCTTCCCTCCCGAGGAGGTGACCCGCTCGGCACATGGGGACTGTCTACAGACGCATTCAGCAGCCCGCTCCATTCTTCTACCTGATGGGGGGCAGAAGACATCCAAGTGTGGCCCCCCAGCTGGACGTGAAATCGTAAAGCAATTAATCAAACCTGCTAAAAGGCAGCGCTGACAAGAGCCGGGCCGGCCACGTTATCTGTCAATATTGCTGTATTTATCATGGAAATCCAGCGGGGGCCCAGAGAGGCTGCGGGCAGTTTCCAAGCACCACCAAACACAGAAAGCCCTTGACGTGTATGGCTCTCGTCTCCACCCTTCCTCGGAGGCCTTGAGAAAAGAAAAGCTGCACCTAACCACCCTCTAGAGGAGGCAGCTACAGGCACAACTTCCAGGAGATGGGGGCTCCTCATCGGCTACTAAGGGCTGACACCTGGCAATCGGGAAAAGCTGCACCTAACCACCCTCTAGAGGAAGCAGCTACAGGCACAACTTCCAGGGAGATGGGGGCTCCTCATCGGCTCCTAAGGGCTGACACCTGGCAATCGGGAGAGAGATGCTCACAAGAGACGTGGATCTCCTCTAGCGTGTGCTGGAAAGCTGCAGCTGGGACAAGCTTCTCCCTCTCCTCCTTTCTCCTGCTGCTGGAGTGGTGACAAGGAGCAGGCAGCATGGCAGCAGTTACCTGGTCACAACCACTGCTCTGTGCCAGGGTGCCCGAGACGCCCATGGCTTGGGTGATAAACAGGGAAAACAAATCCATCTCACAGGGAAAATCTCCATCTCACAGGGAAAACAAATGAACATTTGGAAACTGCTCGGAAACTAAAGGGTGAGGGTGTTGGGTGACTTAAAAAGTTAATATCCCCTCGCACCTATACTGTCTCGGGGCAGTATTAGAGAAGCAGAGAAGAATCAGGCATCAACGTCGTGCACTAATGTTTGGAAAGTGCAGTACTTGCCACCCAGCAGGCAATGCCACAGCCACCTCTCACTTGACAAAAATGAGCACTGCAACACACTAAGAGCACAGGCACTGCAAGAACAGTGATTGCAAGGTGACATTACAGGGCTACGAGCATTCAAATCACCATACAACTAGCAATTAGCCCCTCCAGAGAGCTTCTGATCCTGCTGGATAAAAATGCCTCTTCTGATGCTGTGGAAGCAAAGGTAAAAAGCCCCCCTCCACCCCCTCAAGGAGTCTGTGCCAGGCCTCATGCTCAAATGAGGGGCCATCCAGCTCCGCTACCTGCATTTATCTTCTCAGCGCGTGGGGCTCGCTGTAGTCACAAATGCTCCACTTCAGTGCACTGCTGAACAACAAGTGACCTTTTCTGATCCTTTATTAAGCATGACTAATGGATATAGTAATAAAGTTTCATTATAATTTGATTTTTTCCATACACATAACTCTCACCTGTAGGCTTACAATTTGCCCAACTGGTCTGTTCACTGAGATCAAGCACAATCTCTTTTGCGCAACTGGGAGGGCAGCTTTGTTGTTGTTGTTTATAAACACGAGAAAATTTTCAGGCTTGTGAACAGATTTCGGCAAAAGCAACAACTCAAACTGACTGCAGACACTCCTGACTCCTCCTTCCCAGGCTCCTTTCCACCTCATCCACCCAGGCAGCAGTTTGGGACATCACGAGGGTCCAGTGACAGGGAAGAGAACAAGCGAGACGCAGCAGGGTTGTGCAGCAGGGGGAAAAGGCTATAACATGCTCTGTTGCAAGCTTATTCCTGCCCAACAGGATGGCAGGAAACTAAATGTCACTGAAACATGGCACAATGCCCTCGAGTCTCTGCCTCCCCTACCATTGTAGCTAATATGTTCCTATTCTGTTCAGCTCACCTTTGCTGACACTAAAAGCCAACTGTGACTACTTAAATACTAGTTTGAGCATATGCCATTCTTCCTGAAACAGGCAGACAGAAAAATAAAATACAGCTTCTTGGATACAGCAGTGTATTAACTTGGAAACACGGCAACAGTTCAGACTCTCCAATTCCTGCCTCTAACACAAGAGCTGCTCTTCCCTGATGTGTAGCTCATGCTCTGTGACAAATCAGGGCTGATGCTGAGCCCTTGGGTTCAACACTGTCCTGGGGATGTGCTAGCTCCTGAGAGATAGGTCAGAAATTTCCTTGTCCATCTTCCTGGCAGGACTCAATGGCTAAGGGAGCAAAGGGGCCTCCACGGCAGGGAGCAAAAGGTCTGAGCAAGAAGTGCACAAGGCAGGCAGAGGTACCAGCCTGTGTCACAGCAGGCTCAGACTCGTGCAGCTCTCACCACTTCATTTTATTCACCAGACACCTCTGTTACGTAGCTGCCGCTATCTACAGTTATTGCCACAATCTAGACCTTCTATTTTATCACACAGCAGCCACACAAATCCAGCACTACGCAATGACTGTTCTGCTTGCCCCGATAAACTGCCCTTTAAACCAATTCCTTATAAAAAGGATTCCCAAACAACCAGGCCTTTTCTCAAGCAGTTCCTTGTTATAACAAGTTTACTTGACAGCTCTGCATGAACAGTTTTCCTTATTGTGAAGGAGGGCTGGTGAGTACAATTATGAGGAGAGAGAACACCACAAAGCAAACAAATCACAACTCTTTTGAGCTTATTCCTACGCTGCATTCACTGGCCACTAAATACCTGCACTTATGGAAAAGCCCAAAGCCCCACTGCCAGGCAGCAAGGATGTGACCATGCCAAGAGAAAAAGGTTGCAAGCTGTGACACTTAGTGTCACTGGGACCCACCTTTGCCTATAACAAGACCACACTTATCAGCTGGCACCGTGTAGGTTATTTCCTGCATGCCCCCAGGGGTTCCAACGCTCCAGTCCCCACGGCCACGACCTCTTCCCCGAGTGACAGCCAAGCTTCCAAAGCCATCTCGTTCCTTGGAAGACAAGAAAATTGTATAAGTGTTTTTTTTTCCTGGTTCCAAAGTACATTAAAAACAGCAACAAAAAAAAAAAAAGGGCAAAGTAAGTTAAATTGTATTATAATCAATGGCACTAAATAAGAATATTCTTGGATGGCTCCACATCCCAGATTTTGATGCAGTTTAAAGAAATGCTATTAACGTAGGTTACAGCTGCCTTCCTGACTCAGGAAGATATTTATATTTTCTAAATGCGTGCCTTGATATCTGCTCAAATAAACCTATGAACAAGCATCAGCTACTAAAAGTACTTTTAGTTTGTGATGGGGCTTTCCTTAGAACAACCAATAGATCTTGGCACTAGAATACAGAAGTTATCTTCCAAATCTTTTCAAGTGACGTTCTTCAAAAAAACTGCTGGGACTGCGTAGTTGAAATACACATTTTCCAAAAGTTTTGAAGGAAATTTTTAAGTTCAAAGACACTAAAAGGGCACAGCTATTTTGGATCTGATTTCTGCAAAAGCAAAGGTCAAAGACTGACAGAGGCCACTGTGAAAGGCTTGGAAATTTAAGTGGATGATTAAAAGATTTATATAATCAAGTATTAGAAACAGATCTCAGGGCAAAAAGAACTACCAAGACTACCTTTCATGAACAAACTATGCAGCGGTGGCAGGGAGGCAGTGTTTGAGATCTGTTATTTAATGCTCTGCTGCTCTGAGCATTACTCAGCCAGGTCAAGCAGTCTCATGCTGGACTCTGTGCCACAAGGTCCCCATTTTCAAAAAGCTCAAACCAACTCATCACGGAGGAAAACAAGGAGCTACAATGACACCTTATGCTACTGCCTGAGGAGAGCTTCCACAGCTCAATCAGATCAGATCAGATTAAAAAGCAAAGCCAGCAGTTTTGTCATGGGCAGACACACGTGTGGCCTGCCAGAGGGAAGATTTAACACCACTATTCTTCTTTAGATGGCAGCGTCCATCCACACGGCCACAGCACAGACCCTACATTCTCATCTAAGTGTATGGGAGCCTCCAGAACCCACCTGTGCCGTGAGGATAAGCTCGTTGATGATGTGTGCTGCATGTTGACACCTATCAGGAAGACCCATGACCTGTGCGACTCTTTCAGGACTAATCCCATCATCTGTGAAGAGAGGCAGCAAAGACTAAATTAAAATGAGAAAACACCCACCCACCAGCAAAAGCTTCCTCCTCGCACCACCACCGCTAGCGGCATTTTCACGTAACGTCTCCACCCCGACACCTCTCTTCCCTCCACCTTCAGCCCCTCTTCCATCTACTGGAAGACTACAAAAGCCAAAACCACATTTGCAGTAGGGGCAGCATTCAAAAAAGCAACACTTTCAAGTGTCAAAAAGCTATAAAAGAGATGGATAAAATCTTAAGAGGACAAAGGCAGCTTTGATAGGTGATCAGACAGCCAAGGACCCAGAGAAAGTTACTTAGAATTAATCAACTCCTGATCCCCAAAGGCTTTAATGTCCTGAAGAAATCTTTAAATATATATTTTTAAAATAACCCAGTTTCTTTTTCTTTAAAAATGATTTTTTTATTCATTCAGTTACCAGTCAAGACATTACTGTTGTGACATCTAATGTTTGCAAATGAGGTGTAAATAATCTTACTCTCTGAAAAAAAAAAACAGAGAGTGCACAAGGAAGCAGCACGTCATATTTAAACAGTGTTTAGAAAGAGACACAATGCACCTTTAAATTAAGAAAGCCTAATTGCTGTAACCTCAGGACAGATTCGCTTCACCAACCCCGCGTTGGAACACTGGTCAGAAAGTAACAGCTTTCCATCCTCACACAAACCTGGTTTAAATTGAATCCTAACTCCAGCATCATTTTGAATCTTTTTGATCATTTCTCCATTTCTTCCTATCACAATTCCAACAGCAAACCTGGGCACAGAGACCTGATGGGAAAGGCAAAGCAGAATGAAAGCTCAGAGAACTAAACCGAATTACTCTGATTTTACAAGGAGATGCACTTCGCTATGAGGACAGGCCACATCCCTTCAGAAAAACAAACCCATGGTCACAAATTCCTTTCCCCACGGAATGAACTCTGCCCTACCAGAACGCTGCTTCCAAAAGACAATTTAAAAAGTGCCAGCCAGGAGTCTGTAAGAACTCCTCTTCTTTACGGCCAGATTTGCAACAGAACACAATGCATTTAAAAAGAAGCATATAGGTTACACGTGAAATTTGAAGACTTCCCCCCAGCCCACAGGGAGGTTAGCACCGTAACTCATGAAGACGACATACCTCTATGCTGCCTCCTCCCATTCTAGAACTGAAATCATTGCGTACGCCTCGGAAGTCTGCCTGATCTTTCTCTCGGATGATCTCCAGTACCATTTCCCTTGCTTGCTACATGGGGAAAGAAGTTACAGTTAGCTTAAAATTATTCTGCTTGCCATCCCAGTTCAGGGCCTCAGTAATAGCTAATGGTTAGCTTTCAGGCAGAACAACCTGCTAGCTTAATGCAAATAGTCTGATTTGGATTTTTTTAAACCACAAGCAGTGGAGACCTGTTCTCGACAGCATCTTTCATGTCTGATAAAGTCTGCCAAGTGAGCGAGGTAGCAGTTTCCTGGGTGCAATTTATTTCAGCCTTTCAAAAAAGATGGACCTTTCACCCTTTAAAAATATGATTATCATTCTTTCCAAGGAAGGAAATGGAAGGCCCTTTTCTCCTGGATAGGGCTGAAACCAGCACTATGGTAGAAGCTGCAGCAGCACAGCAGAGAATGCGCCCACTAAGAGGCAAAGAGCATGAACCAAGAAGGCAGGTGGGCAGTAGTGAGCTTGGGGACACTCAGAAAGGTAATCCCAAGTCTGCAGCAATCCAAAAAGATATTTTGAGACAAATTATTACTCTCCCTACCTCCTTGCAGCTCTCAAGGCCTTTCACAAGTTTGCTTGCAGCCCAGCGAGTAAAAGTGTACCCTGGATATATGTCATCAGCAGCCACCATTTAAAAAACAAGAAAAAGGCCCACGTGTTGAAACCCAAGTCTCGGTTTCTGTATATCACCAGTCAAGCTTTTGACACTTCTGTGCTTTTGACAGGTTTGAGGGACACTGGTGAATTTGACTCCCTTCACATTTTATGTTTTTCGTGCTTTCTTGGTATTTATTACAGAAGTAAACAACTCAAAGCTTCAAAGGTGCCAAGACAAAAATAAGGGCAATGGAGAGTTCACAGCAATTTAAGATAGTTAAGAAACACTGTTACAGCACCCAGAGAATCCCACCAGAACGAAGGATTCATTGAGTGAGTTGAAATTAGAAAAGTGCCTCTGAAATCTTCTAGCCCACAATGCCTCCATGACTGATGGACATGGCACATGGCATGGAAGAGGTGGTGACAGCAAATCTTGCAAGGCAGAAGAAACTGCCTCCTGGAAGGTAGCAGCACCTGGAACACGATTTGGCTAAAAGTAGCAAGATTGCCATTAAACTT